TTGGAGCCCTCAAATTTTAAAAATATGGGCATACAACTAGGCTCTAAGCAGGGGAGAACGTAGGTTCAAATCCCCCGTGGACGCGTTTTCCGCATTTTAATTGATTTTTATTATTTCTAATTGCCTAGTACTGCTTTTAACTATTGTTTCACCCTTTATTATCATTTTCAACAACTTTGTCGGATTTCATTTTCTGTTGAGTAATTTTGAATTTTACTTCCTTTAGTATTTAGTTATTTATTTTTTGTATTATTGGATAATATCTTGTTTTGATTCATTCAATAATTATTATCTTTGTAAATGTGCATTTTGAATGAAAATAATAAAATTTAGCTACAAAACGTGAAGTTTCTTGATTCAATAGACAAAAAAATATTCAAAACATTTACCTTGAATATCTTGTTTTGATTCATTCAATAACTATTATCTTTGTAAATGTGCATTTTGAATGAAAATAATAAAATTTAGCTACAAAACGTGAAGTTTCTTGATTCAATTGACAAAAAATATTCAAAACATTTACCTTGAATATGATTTTACGAATCTATCTATCAAAGCAAAAGAATGTGCAATTTTTCAATTTTTAGCCACCCACATGGAAATACTGGCTTAGCTGCAGATTTTCAATTTTTGGCCCCCCCGGAATAGGAATCCTGGCTTCGCCCCTGGCTCCAAGCATTCAAAATCACACCAAACATTCACACACGCATGCATAATGAACTACCCCCCCCCCCCCCCCCACCACCACACACTTAAGCTCGACATTGCCCTCAATGGCGTAAAAGAAGGGGATAGAACGATGTTACCGGTCAAGTTGTGAATGTTTGTACTCGGGAGCGAAGGGTGGATTAGATCCGGAAAAGCGTGGTCACGTCCAAAACACCACCAAAATCTCTTGAAATGGTCGTCTTATTTAAACGAAAAGAAAACAAACCGATGGAATGGTTGGGTTGCCTCCCACCAAGCGCTTCTTTAAAGTCATAAGTCGGACGCTTGCTCCTCAAGTTTCGGTCCACCCAAGAACCTCCTTGAAGTTGAGGTTCTCATCAGTGAGGTGGTATCTCAAGTCACGAGCATTGGACGAATCCATGATTGAGGGCTCGTGACTTGATTTTTCTTGAGGCTCCACCCACGAGACCTCTTCTTCTTTCTTTCTTCACTTTTATCTTTGCCCCACACCATATTGTGCAACCTTGATCGACTTCCATCGCATCCACCAAGAGGGATCACCGATGGTTTGGCCTTGGTTCGGCAAAAGCCGCAAATGGGTCCTTCTCAAGTAGAGCATGGAGGTCAGGTGGAAAGCTTTTATAGCCCTCGTAACTTATGGATGCTTCATCCACCTCGACCTTGTCTTCATCTTGGACTCCACTTGCACCTTCTTCTTCTTTAACATCTCTTCCTTCATCTTCAATGTGTTCCTCCCCTTGGGAACAATCAAGATATTCTCCTTCTTCAATGCTTACTTCCTCCTCTTCAACCTCTTCTTTCTCCTTCCCATTCATGTCTCCAAGCACGTATTTGAGGGCAAGATGCCATGCAAGGTCATAAAATGGATTCTCTTGCTCCTCCACACTCATGTCTTGGTCTTCAAAGTTGCTTTCGGGAAGGAGAAGATGTTGGGAGTCGTCAATGCAACCTTCTTTTTCGTTCTCACCATGGGAGCTCTCCGGGGTGAGTTCCTCTTGCTCCATATGGTTGTCATTGATCGCCCTTTCAACCTCCTTGTTCTCCTCCAATGATGAGAGGCGATAGCTTGCACAAGCTTGGAAATCTGTGTTGAAGCTTGTTCTTACAAAATTCTCCATGGCAAGCTCCAATTTGGACTTCGCTTCGGGTTGTGGGAGATCCAAGTTCGAGCACCCTTCATCGGTGCCATGAACAAACCGCTCCACCATGAGCTCCAGTTGGCTCTTCGGCTCCGGTTGTGGAGTGGCACATGGTCTTGAAAAATGCCCCATGAAGGCTTACTCTGCCAGCTCCAACTTGGATCTCTCATCGGGTTGAGGAGGGAAGTTTTCTCCATATGGGGAAGCTTCTTGATACCCCCATTGGTATGCTAGTTTCTCTTGAAAGGGGGGTTGGTAATAGAACTTGGATCCTTGGCTTCCCCCATTTTGATGGTCCCATGAAGCTCTGGGGTAACCACTCTCAAGTGGTGGTGGATACCCCCAGATGTCGGTGAAGTCGTAAGGATCCATGATTCATAACCTACACAAACAAAAACACAAAAACAATATCAAACAAACACAAACCACCCTTCCAAGACAAGAGTGGGTAAACAAAACGGCTAAAGTAACGGCCTAACCCTTTTTCAAATAACCTATAATGGGTCCCCGGCAATGGCGCAAAAAACTTGGCTCGATCTAACTACAACATCCCAATCGACAGTCAAGTATAACCGTCGACCGGGTGTAGCATAGGGCAAACAAGCAATAAGAATTTATCGTACCACGGGGATCTAGGCTTACCCTACTTCAAGTTTAGGGTTCGTTATCTAGCCAATCCTAGGATAGTGATTAATAAAACTAAGCTGACTAACCTAGACTAACCACTAACCTAGCTATTTACAAGGTTTGGAGCTCTCTTGGGTTAAATCCTCATATTTCCGGCCTTTGGATCGATATTAAGTATCCTCCTAGTTCGATCGACTCAAATACTCTACCGTTTTGAGAATGACTCCCTTGAGAATGACCCGGAATGGCAAATCGGTGGATTGGTAGTGCTCTATTCAACCTAGGGTATCGTATAATGCTAGGAGACCGGTCGAATCAACTCCCTCGGGGACTACCCGGACAATATACGATAGGAGTGACCCGAAGACGCCAAGGAAGGGGCTCTAGGGGGATTATCCCACTCCTAGGTCAAAAGCTCAAAGCATGAAAATGGAAACCACACTCATGCCATTCATGAAAACATCCATCAATTAAGTAAAATCATCAATCAAACATGGAATGTTCCACATACATCAACATAAAACCAAAATCTAGACCTAGGGTTCTTAAACCCAAGACAAGAGGGTGATTTTCTAGAGAGAGAGGAGAGATTATAAAGAAACCTATAGATCTTCTTCTTCTTCTAGGCTTGATTCCTTGCTTCCAAGCTTGATCAATGCCTTCAATTAAGCTCAAAGATCACTCCCTCTGCCACTAGAACACCCCGTTGGTGTTTTGGGTTGAAACCCTAGAGAAAGAAAGTTTTCATTCTCCAAAAACCAGCTCTCTCTCCCCGCTGCTGTCTTCATATTTGCCCGAAAGTGACTAGTTCACGACCGCGTTGACCAGTTCACGACCGTGAACACCTAAACGCGTCTGTGAACTCAGTGTCGTCTCCAAAACGCACCGCTTCACTCTCCTGGGTTCACGGTTTATGCTCAAAGTTCACGGTCTTGGTGACCGTGAACTCAGTCGGCGCCAGTAACCTCAGAATTCGCCTTGGACACCTCGTTGTTCACGGTTTGTGGATCAAGTTCACGGCCTTAGAGGCCATAAACTCCAATGTCAGACCGTGAACTGCAGCTGATTCTTGGACACCCGCCCTTCACTGTTACGGGGCAATTGTCACGGTTGGATTTTTCTTCGGTTTTTTGCGCTTTTTTTTAACCTCCAATCGTTCCAAAACTCATCCTCGACCCTTCCACATGTGCTAGGACCTGAAATGTATCAAAACAAGCACAACCTAGCGTGAAATATGTTGAGAGACGATGAAATGCAAAGCCAAACTATCAAGAAATGAGGGGTAAAATTTGTACAATTCGACCCGAATCATCGACAAACATCACGAATCCAACACTACCGCCGGAAAATCTGCCTCCGGCATCTCTAGTCGCCAAAAAATTTGTCGTCGCCGATTGCTGGGAAATTCACAGTCGTTGGACTCTCTCTCCCTCTCTACATAGGGACTTTCCCCTCAAAAAATGGTGGGCAAAAAAATTACACGCCGTCGGGCGGGGGGAGAAATTCTCAGAAAGGTGATCGGCCATCGGAGCTCGGGTGGGAGGGACGTTGCTAGGGCTGGGAAAATAGATCAGACCGTTAGAAAACCCGTGGTCCAAACCGTACCGCACAGTTTGGTCCAGACCGTAGACCGTTAAGTATGGTCTAGTCTGGTCCATGGTCTTTATTATTTTATGATTTGATCTCTTGGTCTGGTCTGGTCTAGACCGCGGTTTACCGGACCAAACTGTGGACCCGAGCGGCTTGTCAATACGTGTTAACAACCCTTTCGACCACTCTCCTAACTCCCACAACGACACCCAAGTCTCAACCTTAGTTTTGTGAATCTCGTCCCTCCTTCATTCACAACCACATTTAACCAGAGAGTAGAGATAATTGTGTCTCCATATGACATTATGTTTAATGTTTATGACGTTATGGTGCAAGTTGAGATGCTTTAACTTTGTATCTTTGTTATGTACTAAGATTTAGGGTATCAAAATTATTCATGCATGTTAGAATTAATGTTTTGAGGCAAATAACAAATTTTTTTTGTTTGTTATTGGTTCAATTTTATGTGTGGTTGACTAAACAAATTATTCATTTTTCGTTGACTGTGGTCTATCTGGACCAGACCATATCCGCACAGGCGTGGTCTGGACCGGACCATATAGTCTGTGGTCTATACTTCAGCCTCTCGGTCGGGACCATAGACCATATATATGGTCTGGTCTGGACCAGACCGCACCGTTTCCCAGCCCTACGTTCGGCACCCACATTTTTTGTTTATTTTAATTATTAAACAAATATTCTATGTAATTACTTCATTGTCCTTCATTAAATTTGATTAATTGAAGTCATTAGATTTTAATGCGACGAAAGAGATGACATTCACCTAATCATGTGACTAAGAATCCCCTAGTCACCTGATCGTACCCTAGTTTCCACTCGAGAATCCATGTTGATAGTCAATCGATGGAACATATATAATTAAGTTAAGTCATTGCGCCCTATCAACGGTTAAATCATTGCGCCCTATCAACTCAAAATTGATTCAATCCCTACTATGAAACAATACAACAATTCATTGGACAGGATGGAGTTAGGGGAACTTGTACATTTCGTATAGATTTAGGCCAAAATTTAGGACAAAATTGAGTTGAACTACTACCGTTGCTATAAGGTCCCCAGAAACAACGCACCAAAAAGATATGGAAAGAAAAAGACAACCCTCCAAAAAGGGCATAGAAGAACTATTAATAGGGATCCAATAAACAACAAGAAAATAGCCCCGACCCCCAAACCATGCAGTAGTACAAGTCCCACAATCGCCAACCTTGGCCTGCAAAACTGTCAATCCTTCTTTCCAAATCAAATGCGAAACCCATGAGCAAGGCTTGAGAGCACCTGCATTCTCCCCCCAAGTAGCTGCCACGGGAAGCCTAGGGAAACCCACCGGTTTCAGTTTACCACTCTGCTTCTGAGTGCCTTACCTGATATCCCCTCTTTCGTCTTGTTGTAGATCAACTGATTCATTATAACTCTTTTCACAACACTCTTTAAGTGCCAAATATATGTCTGTGAACTGGAGGAGCTTCTAAAGATTTAACTACATCTAACCATGGCTTGTCGACGATCAATATGCTATTCTCTGAAAGGTGCCTCATGAATAACACGGGATCCCTGAAAGAATGAAATTCAAAGTTCTTCCTATTTTCAGTCTTTGTTTGATACTCTTTCAGTATTCTTTTCAGGCTACCGTTGTTCACCGGGGTTTTCAATCGTATCTTTTTTGTGGAAACAGGACCGTTAGCCAAGTCACCATCTTCCTCTCTATCCACTGGCATCCCGAAGTCGATCTGACACCTTGCCCTGCACCCATCAATCATGAGGCAAACATCTCAAGTGACTGAATAACAGATTTACAGTCCATGAATATTCTCCAAGACCATGATTTGATAGCCCTAAGAAAACACTCAAGTGACTGAATAACAGATGTGACCAACTCAATTAACTTAGGATAGTGCTACGACTTTGAAAATGACAATAAGGAAACTATGTAAACACACCTTGCACTATAAATGAAGGCAGATGCAGAAGCAGACGAAGGCTGAAAAGAGAGACCAATAACTTCTCCAGGAAACTCCTGGTATCTCCTTGGTAGATAGGAAGTATGCCTCCTTGACCAATCCCCCAACTGTTTTGCCTCTACATCAAATGCATAAACTTGGTTTGCGGAGGTAGTGACTACAAGCACATTGTTATTTTGTGGTGGGAAACCACCAGCAGTAACAGAAGCACCATCTAGTCTCGAAATGAACCAATGTTGCCTGTATAGTAATAAAAAAATCAGCATATTTAAAACCTATATGGAACAAACATTAGGATACACATAACTCTAAACAAAACCAGGCTTCAGTAGAAATATATCCACACTTAATAATTAATCATGACACCAGAGCAATAGATTCAGAATTTCAAATCTCTTAGGCAATTTTCAAAGTGATCAATCGACATCCTCTTCTATGACTGAGAAGATTCATTATTAGCAACCACATATATATCCAAACACCAAACAATTCACTTGGAAGAATTTCCTCTTTTCATACCAAGGATCCATCAGTTTATAAGAAGCAAAATCTGAATGCAGATAATCAGAATGCTGAAGTCACATGAAGCCAATCCACACGAAAAAGAAACCAAGGACTGGGGTTTATTTACACCTTTGTGTCTCCATGTTGAACACATAAATATCGCCAAAGCAATTAACGGCAGCTAACCACTGTCCGTCGTTGCTGGTGAACATTTTTGTCATTGGAGGCTCAGAGGGCGGTAATTCCTCATTGTAATTGTGACGCTGGGGAGTGAAGGCATGCACTAACTCAGAGGTCTCCATATCAACAACCTACAGATACCATGCAATTATGAGATATGATATCGATCTCATAGCATGCAAATGGAAATAAACCACAATTCACTACAAGCAGGGAGCAAGAAGTCCCGCCCCCCACACAAGCACTCATCAACAATGAAGTCGACTGAAATAAATAACCAATCCCTCAAGGTATCAAATTATTTAAAATGAAGGAACGGTCACAGTTTAAAGCAAAGTAACACCCAACAGTAGAACAAGGAGACAGTACTTACATATATCTTTCTGTTGTGGCCTGCCAATATTAGCCTTGAAGAATCAGAACTAAAGATCATACAATGCGAGTATGGCAACTTGGGAGGAAGTGGTATTTTGCTTACTGTCCATGCAATTTTGCTAGCTTCATGCTTCTTCAATTCAAAAAGATTGGGCTTAATGTGGTCTGAGTAAGCAAATAGCATTCCAGTATTAGAAATGGCACTACATATGATCTTACGGGATGCTTTTGTTTTTATTCTAGCCAGTAAATCTGTGGTTGCACGGCCCTTTGATGAACCAGGAACACCATCTGCTATGTTTCCACTATTTGACCGGACAGATAAAATATCTAAGGAATTAGATGCTTGGACAAGAAGTAAGGGATTCTTGTTGAACACGGTATTAAGAACCAAGTGAATGGGCATTCTCTGAGGTGCGGGACAGATGTCGTGGGGAGAGAACTTAGAGAACTCCTTGGCAGAATAAGCATATAACTTTGTGTCATCACCAGCAGAAATTAACATGGGAACTCCTAAATGTGCCCACTTGTGATAGCTAAACTCAATATGCCTCCTCCTTTTCCGGCCCATTTTCGCCTTCTCCTCAGGTAAAGCATCTGTACTCCATGATCATAAAATTAGGAAATGGGAGAGTGATTGTCAATACAAAACCGTAGCCTTAACACAAAACTAAAGTGACTAAACCAAAGGAGAATGAGAAACATACCTTCACGGCTGATTGGTACAGTCATAGTTAAAGCTCTAATATCATGTGTATGAGCTCTAACATAACCAACATAGACCCATTTCTTCATTACAATGGACGTAGATGTATCAACACTAGATCCAACTACATCATTAGAAAGCTTATAAAGAATAACCTACAAACAAACACAAGCAGTTAAACAACTACCGAAAGCAAATTCAGATAGATATGGGTGCAGAAGAGCAGTGAAACAAAAACCTTTTCCCTATAAAACACTGAAAGAGGACAACAAAACAAGGATTTTCAATCTTGAGAGTAATACCTGACCATCTGATCCAGCAGAAAATACCCTGGTATGACTAGGAGCAACTGCCAACGCATTTACATCACCCTTATGATAAGAATGTGCTTGCAAGAGAGTCCCATGCTGAGAGTCCCAAAACTGAACAGTGCCAGTACTGTCTGCACTAACGAGGGTCCCACATCTACAATTGACAACAAACACATCAGCTTATTTTAGGAAGGGTGGAGGAAAATCATTAACATAGCCCTACAGTTTTCAAGAAGCCAGCACAATTCAAACGATTGCTATTCTACCTCAGTGCAAGCAGAGACCACACGCAAATTTCAGTTCCACCACCCAGACCACCAAGTCCAACTGTGATTCTATATATTTCATGGCCCAGCGTCGCATCCCAGCATCTAATAAAACTGCAAAAAGAGATTCGTTAAACAGGGTTAAAAAAAGTAACAAAAGGCAATATAATAAAATTATATAAACCATCCCAAATAAACATTGAAGCTCATAGTCATAATTCATTATGACTAAATGCCAATGATGCATGCAACACTTTAGAACCAGCATGATTTATAAGCTGTTGCAATACCTAAATTGTACAAAATCATTTGAGCTGTTTAAGAACTCACCCATCGCTGCTGCCTGAGAATAGCTTACTCGCATCACAACTCCATGTCACACATAAAGTGCGGCCTGTGACATTAAAAACAAACAAAGTGTTATTCACACGGGGTAAAGAAAATAAAGCTAAGTAACAGTACAAGGGTGCAGATATCTCACCACTGACCCTAGACAATGTTCTATTGTATATCAACTCATCAGATTCTGGAACAGTGTATATAAGCACACAACCATCGTCACAAGCAATTGCCAAGCGCGTATCTTCAATAACTTGATTAAGATGCTCGTTAGAGCTTGAATCATCATCACTTTCACTAGATTCATTATCATCATGATCGTTACCATGATGGATGCCATTCAAGAAGCCATTTGCCAAATTCTGAGACTTGACCTCTGAGGGATGTGCTCCACTGGGAGGTGCAACCGCCATCTGCCAAATCGAGAAGGCAGTTGACTCCAGAACAATCTACAGACAAATGAAAAATGGCTTGTGATTATGAAGCAGAAAAAGATTAACACTTCACCTTCTGAGCCAGCATTTTTCAATGGAATGGAGTAAAATTATCTAAGCACGTACAAATGCATACTGACTGTCACATTCTCACAAAAGCAGATTTCCAATTCCGGATCCACTCAGTACAGTAAAGCAGATAAATGTAGGTATGATTTCTGAACCAGTTACTTGAATGTCATTGCTTGTATGCATGACGGGGCAACATAAATGCAAGATATGTTTCAAAAAGAGGACATCAAAGGAAAGTGAAACAGCCAGCAAGCAGACCAAACTCACCTTTTGCTTCAAGTGAAAAAGGTCCCACTCTGAAATAGACCCATCAATGCTTGACGAGAACAATCTGCCACAAGGTAATCCCTTCGAGCCAGCCCGACACCACACGAGCGATGAAACTCTTGAACTACGATCGCCATGAATAGTCTACACATAACAAGCACTGATAAATGATAAAACTCAAACCAGCCCAATTAATGCAAGAGAAGTTTCAGTGTTCTACACATTAAGAGAAACATTGGAAGAGAGAAAATACCAGCTGGCAGTGCCAACCAACTGAGCCAGGAGAGACGAGCCAAATCTCCAGGGAGCCATCCTCCCTAGCGGCGGCAACTTGGGAGTCATCGGCGCTGGAAGCTAGGGCTACAACTGGAGACGGCTTCCACTCGAGTGAGCTGTTCACGTAAGTCGCCTTCAGCATCTCAACCCTGCAATGCCGTCCAGGGTTGAAGAAGTCCCTCCGAGAAGGATTGCGGTAGAAAGGCAGCCAAAACCAACAACCGCACCTGATTGAGCAAATGGGTGAAAAAGACCGAACCCCACTACAGGAAATCAGAAACCAAATTCAAGACGCAGTTTTCCCGTAACAAAATTGAAGGCACTGAAGATTCCGAACTGCGGCAAAATGGATGGTGGTAGAAGGAGACAGAAGCAGGAAGTACCTTGCTTAGGGATACGGTGGCTTAGGCTGCGAGCAGGCGGTGGAGCAGATGGAAGCGGCTGCGGTGGAGGGAGATACAGTCGATGAAAGAGTAATCAAGCCTGGAACCGGGAGAAGGGGGAAAAGAAGCGGAGCACTGCGCAGCGCGGCAGAGAAAGGGTTTAGGAATTAGGGGTTTGTTTTCCTGTAACGACAGCTTTGCCCCCCGCCTCCCTCCCTCTCCCGTCTGTATAACGGCGGCACTCTTCTATAGTTACTGGATTTTGAAATGGAGGCCCAATAAAGGAGCATCTTACTGCGTGGGCTTCAGTTCTAGTGGGCCTCGTAATGGGCTAAGCCTTTGCAGAATCTTGAATGAGTTATTGACACGTTGGTTTGCGAATTGACAACCCAATTACCATTTGATTTTTTTTTTATAATATTTATTTATATAGGTTTACTTCTTGTTGTCATAGACCAGGAAACCGGATCGTACCGGCCGGTTCAACCGGAAATTGGACCAAAAGCGGTACGGTGGGCTTATTGTGCTGATTTTACCTTGCCGGCCGGTTTTTTCGGTTTGACCGGTTGAACCGGCCGGTATGATCCGGTTTCCTGGTCTATGATTCAGCTTCATTTCTCCGTATTCTCGTCCAATATGTGGAAAATAATTAAAAAGAATATTATTTTGCTATTTTTCTATGTTGAAAATGGGTCACCGTGGTTGTATAATGCTCTATTTGGTTCTTTTTTTTATGGATTATATTTTTTATACTATCGCATTTCATTTCTCTATCAATAGTGAAAAACGATATTTACCGGTACAAAATGGTTGAACCACGATCGTACCACAAAATACCATACCAGAAAGGAATCCGGTATGATGTCCGGTACGGTTTCCTTTACCATGGTTTAAATACTATTTAAGAGAATAGAATATGGGAAGTGTAGGTTCCATGCTAATGGTATTACCACTTTTTTGCTTAAATCCTAACCCAAGATAGCTTGCATTACCAAGATTCATAGATCAAACAAATACAACTTCATATAGAGCCAAGCACAAAAATCAAAACATAGTACATCACTAGTTGACAATATAAGAGTTTTCCTTGCCACCATATGAGAAACCCTATTATGTTGTCTCCCAACGAACTGTACTATCACCCTCCGGATACTCCTACGGTCTTGCCTAAGAGCCTGAATCTCACGATGGAGGGCAACACCACCCTAAGCTACAACCATGCACCGTGCATTTACCTTGTCAATAATCCTCTTCACGTCTCCACGAAGCAACACAGAGTTGAACACTTAGCTACACACCAATGAAAGGCGTCACGAAGCGCACAACTTTAGTCATCACAACCGCACCAGATGCATCCCGAATGACCATACCAATTCCCGCATGCGAATCTATACACAGAGCCTCATCAAAATAACAAACCATCCATTTGATCAAACCTGAAGCTGGATCACTAACATGCCTCCCATGAGCAGCCGACAAACCTGGAATGTCCCTTCAAAGTTTTTCTAGCCATTCATCAATCTGTTGATTAAGCTGGCAACAGAGTACCCGTAAGGATACTTGCTTAAGTTCAAAGACCACCCAGTTACTAGCCTTCCAAATCCGCCAAAGTATAGCCACAAGCTTAAGGATCACCTCCGGAGAAAGAACAAGGTCCAAAAAACTATGGAAGAACACGACAAGGTTGGTTGAGTTGACCTCTACTACCAAATTCCAAATACCCGCCTCTACTCAAAGCGAATGAGCCACCGTACAATGAATGAAGAGGTGATTCATCGTAATTTTTAAAAATGATGGTGAAGATTTGGTGGATCGTAATTTTGTAACAAAAAAAGAGATGTCATATGTGATTGTTACTCCTTCTTACTTTCCATATCCTCCTCTCCTAGTCAACTTTCATCTCCTCCTACTCCTCTCCCCCCATCGCTCTCCATCTCTAGAGAAAAACCTCAAAAACGAAAAAAAATTATTTGCCTGTAGACTATAACCCACTGATGATCTCCCTATTCACCGACCCTCCGCCTCTAGCATCGTTGTCCCAAGTGGAAAAAAACCTAGATCTACATCCGCAGGTTCCACGATTCATCCTCTCTTTGAAGTTGTGTGGCTCAGTTATGGGCGTTGCCTCCATCGATTTTTGCCTCGGTGAACGGCTATTTGCCGCCAACCAAAAAAAAAAAAGTTGAATTCAAATTTTGAATTCTCCCTTCCTTCCCTTCCTATAAATTCGAATACCATAACATTTGACTCATTCCAACAAAAACATTTTTGTCGACGAGCCCAGTGCCTCTGTCGCCGGCACCGTTCCTCCCTCGCCGGCCAACCTCCCGTCGTCCTCAATCGTCGGAAAACAAGTAAGTTTACTTTTTCCGGCAAGTTTTTCAATTTTCCGGCAATTTTTCCAGTTTTCCGGCGAAAAACACGGTGGGCCGAAAAAAAATTGCGGCCGGGCCGAAAGAATTTTTCTGATTCAATACGTTTTCTAAAAGTTGAATATGTTGTAGATTGTGAAACTTCTTAACCAAAGATGTACATATATACCTTTTTTTTTTAGTTGGCGGCAAATAGCAATTTGTTTGGCGGCAAATAGCAAGCCCCTTTGCCTCGACGACGAAGAATGACTGAATATGTGCACTTCGACGTTGCGGCCTGCCTCGATCTGAATCATCATTAGTTTTCAGCTCGATAGCTGAGAAGGTGTTGAAGTTGTGCGGCGCGGCAACATGGACCCATACTCGTTGCTCTTACTCTTCATTTTCCCCTCCCATCCACGGTTGCTCTGACTATTCGCTTCCCCTTCAGTGTTAATGGTTTTTTGTGGACTAGTATTTTTTCCATTTTAGTGGTATTGGCTTTTATCCTTCTATCAAACGTACTATTATTGGTTTGATCTAGTTGTGTTGGGTTTTTTATATTGGTACTCGGTTGGCAGTGTTTTTGCATTTCAAATCTGAATTTTGGCGGACTCAGGGTCCTTATAAGGGTGTCTCGAGACACCCACAAAATTTAGGTTGGGGGAAGGGGGAATTAATGATCCCCTGATAATATTATTAATTACACGACAAATCAATTGTTGTTGTGTTTAAAACGTAAATCCAATTATAATACAAAATAGGCAAAATACACTTGTATAGCCAAAACTTTCACGTTTGTGCCAATAATAGCCAAATTTGGCGAAATACCACTTATAGCCAAGTCCGTCCAATTCTTTAACACTGTTAACGTTAAGTGCGACTGGGCAAACGGAGCAGCTTACGTGGACCGCCTGAGATTTCCACGTGGACAATAATTAAAAAAAAAAGATACAAAATCAGAACCACTAATTTTTACCCACCCACCTTTTGTTCTCTCTTTCCTCTTTCCTTATCCTCTTCATCGAACCCGCCCTGAATCCCATCGACGAAGGCGAAGGCGACCACAAAGGCGATGAAGGAGACGATCTTCCTCCGACGAACCCCGTACCCACCGCTATTCCTTCCTCCACCATCAATATACACCCCTCCTCCAGTCCCGATTTTCCTCCAATGATCGAGCTGAACCTTCCGCCTCCTTCCTCGAGAAACACATACAGAGGATGGGTTGACTAACCGGCGGCGAGCTTTGGCCGAGTCCTTCGAAGCTTCTTCTCTTCTGTATGCTTTGGAGGAATCTCGGAATCGACCTGTAGCAGACGCGATTCTACTGCGTTCGTGAAACCCTAATCTCACTTCAAAGCTCGATTTGTGCTCTCCCTCGTCAGTCGCGACTGGTAAGGAAACTTTCTTGGTTCATTATTGTGGGTTTGATAGCGAGCTGTAATTGAATACTGAAGGTTTGAAGAAAGGGCTAGGTTCTTATAATTTCTTCCTTTTTTGGTTGGTATTGAGCTGTAAAGACAAGAGAGCGACACGACAGAGAAATCTAGGGAGCACTGGATTGATCCTTTTGCCGAGTTTTCCCCCATAACTGAAGGTGAGTGGGTCGATCTACCGGGTTAGATTTGTCAATTCCTCTTGCTGTCCACGAACCCTAGAATTGAATACTGTTTTTCGTTGTTGTTTTCCATTTGTTAGGTAGTGAGTAAAATACTGTTTATTTTGTATAATCATGTGGTTAATGGTGATTATAATACATTTTAATCGTGAATGACAAATGGTTGATTCTTGGGACGAAGCGTTTGGGGAGAACGATCCAACGGCTGTGGTTTTATCAGATCTATCCTTGGCTGCAGATGATGGTGTTGAGACCTCTGTTGCTCGAGACATATACCACGTATACGACTCAGATGATGCAGATACATCTGACGACGAATACCATGAAGCAAGGGCAAATCTGCGAGCTTATGGGGAGATGAAGAAGAGGAAGGTGAAGGCGCGGGTTGATGGCCATGGGGAGGAGGTTGAGCAGCTTGATGATTTTGAGGAAGAGGGATCAGATGACGAAGATTCTGAACGTGATGGGTTGGCTGCTGAGGGAGCAGCTCCTATTGCTTCGCAACGCTAAGATGATAATCAGGTTGATGATGCAGATCCCGTCCAGGAAGCAAGGGGCCAAAACTCTAACCATTCAAGTTACAGGCTTTCAGAAGAGTCAAACCATGTTCAAGCTAACTTGTCGGACTCGGATGGCAGGGACATATTCGACGATGCACCGCAATATGATCTGAAATGTGACCACAAGCTTCTCCAATTCCTGCCTCGAATGAAGTTTGCTAGTGTAGATGAATTCAAGGCCACTGTTGTTCGTCACTCTGTAGCTGCTGGGGCTTGTCTGAGATGGGTTAGGAGTACTCCAAGTAGGAGGGAGGTTAGATGCAAGGACCAGAATTGCAAATGGAAGCTTTATGCTAGTTGGTTCCGTCGCAATCAGAGTTTCATGATTAGGAAGGTTGGTCTGCCTCATTCTTGTGCAAGGCAGCTTCGTGTTAACCAAGTTACTACACACTGGATTGCTAGTGATATGCTTGAGAGGTTTAGAATTAACCCTGAATGGGCTCTTGATCAAATCATGGCTGACGTTAAGCTAAAGCACAATATGGAAGTGAAGCGAAGAACGTGTTATAGAGCCAAGGTGTGTGCAATCAAGATGTTGGGAGGCTCACTTATAGAGGAGTACCAGAAAGTCATATCCTATTTGGGCGAGTTGGTGATGCGTGATCGAAGAGGGACTTTCAAGCTTGAGGTTGAACCACACCCTACACAAGACAATGTGT